AATATCGTCGAACCTTTGGTTACACTTGTAAATCTTGCATAACACAGTATAATACCTGAAGTTAATTATAAAGCAAATGAATAGAATACTTGTCTCTACATTTATGCACTTATGTCATTTTAAGAATATATGGATATTAATCTAATCATTCAAAGATTTTCACAACCTGTTGTAACATACATTGTTTAGAGTTCCGGAAATTTTTAATCCAACGTTTTCTTAAAATATTCGAGGAACTAAAACTATCTTGACGTCAATTATTCACTTTATCTGACCCGACATCAACCAACACAAAAAAATCAATGTATACTACGGCAATAATTTGAAAATAAGTAATTAAAACTAGAGTTTAATCGACATATTTTTATTTCAAATTGTTTTAACACTAGAACTACCAAACCAGTCAAAATTACTAGTTTCCGGTTTTCTTTCTGTCACACAGTTACGGAAATTATAGAATCATTTCTATGGGGAATTTGTTGAATTTCTATGGGGATTTGTTGATTTCTTTACTTAAGCGTATGTTGTAATAGAAGTCGTCCAAAGTTGGAGTAAATCAAATCTTGTCGATGTTGTAAAACAATATTACATTAGTCGCGTTTAGGGCCCGGTAGATCTAGTGTTAAAATCGAGGAATGGTTACAGCATCGAAATTAAACTAAAGACCCATTAGAGCAGAATGGTATTGTAATTAAATTCTCGGAACTACGCTATTACTACTCTACGCTTCAAAATTTTATTAGATATAAAAGGTAAATTCTTGGTATTATCCTACGACTATGAATACTATTATTACACGTGGTTCGATAATTTTATTAGCCATAAAAGATGAATTCTAATAATTGCGCTATGAATATTATTACTTTTGGTTTGAACATTTTAGTGGAAATAAAAGCTAATCTCTCAGAGTTATGCTATGAATACTGTGGTTACTCTCTTCATTCGATACTTTCGTCATACATAAAAGATAAATTCCCAGAGCTTCGTTATGGGTCGTTACAATTTTTTTCTACAATTGCTGATTTCATTGCATATACATATAGATTTCATTCTGAGCTTGCAACTAAGTGCTATAGGCGTGCGAGTACTTACAGCAAGTGCACGCATTAGCGCAGGGGCTAGGGTGATGTGCGGTTACTACGGATCATTAGTGATCAAGGATTATTAACAGGGGTTTACAGATAATCAATACCGGTCTACATAAATTCGGAATGATTAATGGTCGAGAGATATTGGGAACATAAGCTAGCCTAAGTTGACCGAAATATGGAGCTCCGATGGTTTGGTCGAAATGAAAAATCTAGGGAATGCAAAATATCAATTGCAATTGGAAACAATACGAGTGCACTGAACACTAAACTGCAAATTTTATGCAATATATAAACTGTCTGTACTAATTACAAAGTATAATAGCTACATCTAAACTTATCTATTTTCTTAATAATTTCAATAAGTTAAAAATAATACAACAGTATTTATAAACTGTTCAAATGTTTTTGCTATTCTGCATTCGATGCAATTATTTTCGTGAGAAATGTTTAAAACTAAAACAGTCTAACAGCGTCCAAAATTATCACATATCAATAAAGATCGACGATTTATTATAATTTCTTAGACTGCTTTATTTGACGAAATTGTAAATTCTTGTTACATAAAAGATTTACTTTTTATTCGCAGAACCATTAAAAAATTAACAAAATTACTCAGAGAGTAAAGAACTAATGAAACCTATGTTTAATTAACATTCGAACGACGGACCTCTTTGACAAAAATATAACTGAGTATACTTAGGATTATCTATAATTTTATTTGGCAATTTTTCACAATACATTTTTTAAGCTACTCAATCTAGATCCGTTACGTTCCTCTATCATCAAATTAAAATTTTAATTATCAGAAACTAGATGGTCAAATAACAATATTTAGACTCCGAGTCGAAATGGCCTCGAATCCTACGACTATGAATACTATTATTACACGTGGTTTGATAATTTTATTAGTCATGCAGGGTGAATTCTAATAATTACGCTATGAATATTATTACTTTTGGTATGAACATTTTAGTGGATATAAAAGCTAATCTCTCAGAGTTACGCTATGAAGACTGTGGTTACTCTTCATTTGATACTTTCGTTCGAGTGTTACTAATTATATATATTTACAGTGTAATCAAAGCTTTAAGACGTGAAGGAACACTTCGAAGATAATCGTTGAAGTTCACTTATTATTTAAGTGGTGTGCTTAATTGCCGGTACATAACTTTGTAAAACAAAAGTGCTTAACCGTTATACGCGACGAATCAATTAACTTCGTGGAATGGAATTAAAATTGTTGTGGTCATGATAGGACCGGAGTTTCTTCAAGCATAGAGGGAATCGGAAGATTAGTTGGCAGGACGGAAGATCCTAAATTAATTGTGACGTTCCCCTCGCTTCCTCTACCATGGGACGCACCTTACTGGATTCTCGATACGGATTATAAATCTTATGCCGTGGTGTGGAGCTGCTCGAACTTTGGTGTATTCAGGTAAACATACTTTTTTATGTATTGAAACTGTTTTCGTCAGAATAATTGCATACTCCTGCAGAATTAGAGTACGTAGTTCACAAAATTTCTAAATTTGTAAGATACGAGAATACACATTAATTGAGATTAATTATATTTCTATAGATTTCTTTTGCAAATAAATTAATAGTAAGCCAGTTCTTATACTTTTTGAAGGTAGGAATTTGTACGAAGTTCCAGAAGGTAACAATTAGATTGCAGATTTTATACGAACTTAATACGAAAGTATAAAAATTTTAATTTTAGTACTCTTCATTTCTTTTTCATTGTCATAACACATTATCTGTTGACAGTAATTAATTGTAAAATTTTCAAAAAACTGACATTTTATAGTTAAAAACTTATTAATAAATTGTTCAGTGGTACTAATTATTTCAATCGTGTACAAGTTGTCCCCTGTAACATTATCTAATAATTTATGTAGAAAAAGATTGTTCAGAATTCACTTACTATAGGACAGCTACAATATTATAATTAGACTGCGGATCTTTATAAAATAAGAACTGTCTTTATTAATCGCAGAAAGCAGAAGTTAATAGAAATTAATGTCTCTTTCTAATAATTTTAATAGATTTTGTCCGTGGTCATGAAACCATGTCTTTACATTAACGTACCAATGTGAATTATTACTTTAATAAATAATGTAGTTTAAATTAAATAATAATAACTCCTGTCGTTTTATATTCTAGCATACGAAATGCTTGGATCCTGACGAGAGAACCAAAGCCACCGGTGTCCGTTTTGGAGAAAGCATACCAAGTGATAGACAGAAATAGTATAAGCAGAGCATACTTCATTCGCACTGATCAGAAGAATTGTCCAGAAGGCAATTAAAGGATAGAATGTTGTAAAATGTCGAAGCGTGTTTCATAAAAAATAGTCTTTCGTCTTTGTGATGTAAATCGATAGGTATAATCTGGGAGTTTCTATAATTTTATAGTATAATTTTATTTGTTTTACAAATATTTAAAAACTCCTCGGACAGATTCACAATTTATTCTAGCTGTTGGTGTTTCATAATTTGTATTAAACAATATTTATTTATTGAGTGAAATTAAGTGATATTCGCTTTACCATATATCGGTAAAATTAACCTTAACACTCGAACGACGGGGCTTGGGTCCAATTGCATCCAGAGTATAAATATTGTTATTTGATCGTCTAGTTTAAGATAAAATACTATTATATTGCATATTCGGTTATATTACAAGCATACTCACTCGGTTATATTTTTGTGAAAAAGAAAATGTCCGCGTCGTTCAAGTGTTAAACATACATAAACGTAATCACATGTTGAATGTATTTAATTGTAAAGCTTCTAATGTTTAATTCCTTCTGCTAGAGGCTCGCGCAGCTATTATTATACAGTTCTACAAATACGTACTTATATGAACCTGTACTTAACTACATTGTCTACATATTGTAATTTTAGTCATTGAATTTACAGTTTATTAAGTTGTGTTGTTCTATTTGTAATATTTATTTATTTATTTATTGTATTATATAATGGACTGACAAAATTACAAAGTGTTGATAAAATAAATTACTAAAACGTTTTTATATTCGATATTTATGTAAGAATTTCAACTAAATTCGGAATTTTATTTATATTTAATGTATAATGTCTGTGTGTCTTTTGTAAATCATGAAAAGTATTTTAGTGATCGAAGACTTTGCTGTATTTCGTTTAGAGTTTGATTACTACCTAATTAGTTCATCTTTATATTTTGAGTTTAAGATCTGAGTTAAGCGAAAATGATTTTTCAACGTGTTTTCGAATTTTTCTATCATGAAGAATGATCTTCCCGCTTTCGTATTACTATGGTATTCGATGTAACCAAATTATATATTAACTCGCAACTGAAATAAAGTATACGGAATACTCGATTCGTACTAATTTAGGTTTAATAACAACTAATAGGCTTGATAACGAAAAGTCTCCAGGTGGATGCATGATTAGGAAATTGTTTAGAATAATTCTTTGACAGAAAATTATGATTTTGATAACGATTCTGATCCTTTAGAAACAATCTAAAATCGTGACAACGTTCTAGTTTTATATTAATTTGAATTCTTGGCGATATTAATGGATTTTCATTGTTTCGTAATTTTCATTTCAATTGTTAATCAATTCTTGAAGCTCATGTTGAATGATATTTTTACATTTTATACATGTTTCAGTACGACTGTTTTACCGACATAAACATTCAGAATTGATTATAATTTTTCAGTTAATTTCGTGTCACAAAATTAATCAATGTGACATGCAAGAAGTTATTATATGAATATCTCCATTGAATAATAATTTTACATTGAGAGTTATATATATATATATATATATATATATATATATATATATTTCAATTCGGTAAATACTCGTTGATACCACTAGGTGTCGCTTAACTGGTGCAAAACCTGCACTCACACTGCAGTACATTATATCAAAGGCAGATACCTGCAGGCTGGCGAGTGCACTAGAAGTAAATGTAGTGCGTCAGTTTGTTGTAAATATTAAATTACGAAACAAGCAACGTTTTAAAATTTAAATACACAATACTGTTGCAACAAATAAACTATATCAAACGCAATTGAATCTCATCTTCTGCGTTTATTATGTTCTTTGATTTCGGTTTTTCTAGAAACAATTCTAATAAGCAATCACATAATAGTATCCTACAAATTACTTTCAACAATTTTTCAATTTATTTCTTTTGCATCTATCATTTTCAGTTGATCGAGAATAAGCATTAACGTACAATTAAACGTGTTATGCAATTAGCAATCACACGAGATTTTTCAAAACAGAATTTATAGGAGCTTGTATCAGTAAGAGAACTTATTCTAGAACTTACCTAACGATTTTTAAAGAAAGTGCTATTTATTTATATTATTCTATCAATTTTATATATTTTACCGAACTTTTGTTATATACATATTTGCAATTTCTGGAACGAGATGTACAGTCCCGACGTCGTCACGAAAGGGTCAGTGCTGCTCCACCCTATGAGAATTATTCAAATTAAAAACGAGAATTTATACAATTACATATTTATCTTTTTATCGCAATGCTAGAATTTTATTATTACGTCAAATTGACACCAAAGGACAAATTATGTAGGAAACGTGAGGAGTTGAAATAAAAAGTACTCATCTTTCTCTAACATATTAATGAAATTTTACCACTGTGTCAATTTGACATGGGGGGATAGATAAAATTAGAAGCGTGAAGAATGAGGGTTACTTCAATTTTTTATGCTGTATTAACTCAAATATTTCCTTCTACATGTGTATCATAATAAGTAACTCTCATGCAACCCTCGTCTTTCATCCCTTAATCTACCCTTTAACATCAAACTGATACGATACTAAAAAATCAGTGCTAAAACTGCAATTATGAGATAGTGGAATACAAATCAGAAAAACCGTCAGAAAATTTAAAAGAAGTATTGACACATTAGTGTCGTCTTTCTACAATTATTGAAACAGATTACATGAACTTTTAAATAATTACATCAACGTGATGATAACTTGAAAGTTTCGTGGGGCTTCCACGACCGTCATAATCCGATTAAGGGTTAAGGGTGAGCCTCTGTTTACTTACTACACTGTGGTCCTACATGCACATGGAAGAAACTCATATATGTATGTATGAACAAAGCCATATTATCTACCTTCTTATCTCTTACCATTGATGCAAATTTTATATTGCATAAAGATCCGCAATCTACTTGTAATACAGTAACCAGTAATACATGCTTTTCATGCAAAAGTTTTTGCATGTAACCGGCTTTCTCGACTCTGTTGGATTACTTGACAAAAATATCAAATAGCTTTTTATGAAAGTTATAGTGAAGGCTTTTACAAATTATTTTACAATTAAACTATAATTACTTTGCTATTTTATTATTTTATTGTGTCCTGTTTATTGGTCATTTTCGATGTAATTACTAAGGATGTAACGTCTGTACTTTCCTTTATATCACATTACATATTATACAAGTTGTAATACATATGTATAGGGTGCCAACATTTAATGCACAGTGTGAAAAATCCTATTTATATGATTGAGTCGAGAAAAAACACTCTTTTTTACTAGGACAAGCGAAAACTGTGTCAAATTGACAAGAGCTACAAATGAGTAGACAGTGGATCTCTCTGCAAAATAAAAATTGCCTGCATTTGTTGCAAGAAACAGGATTCATTTGGAGATCTCCTACGATTCTCTAATAAAATTAACAAACTGAAAATGGTATATTGGTATCCTCCTATTACTGAAATTTTATCACTATTTTATATATTTCTCATAAATACATAAAATCAACAGATTTGCACAATCCCGCCGTCATTCGCACGATACATTAGCTCAAAATTACGTGCACGGCCGTCGCTTCACGTCCATCGATAAGTAAGCTCCTAAGAGCCTCCACGCAACGTTCGCCTAATCCATAAAACACATCTACGAGAAACTAATACCGCCTGTTGAAAGTCGATTGCACACTCGTATCTCTTGCAGACAATTCCGTAGCCAGTAATGCGTTACGGTGCGAATGAATATCGCCGGCAATATGGAAAATGCGAGTGGGACTCCGCGCATGAATGGCGATGTTTGTCACGCTGGTGGAGCGAGCTGAGCTGGTAAAAACGCGCAGCGATTTTCACACGGGTCGGCAGACCACATCAGACACGATTAAACATCTAAGTGTCACAACGAAGCGCAGCGTTCTCTCCCACGTTAAAAATGCAGGAAACAGTCACGAGTGCGATAAATCGAGCGTGAACTAGCGAAAACACGACGGCACGGCACAATGCCGTTAAATTAAACAAATAACGCTGGACAAGGGTGCTGGATGGTGTCCCTAACCGCGCGTCACGTGGCGTCGTCTGCGCAAACAGACAGTTATTGAATCGGTGGACCTGCAGAACGTGTCATCAGCGTCGCATTGTGGCGGATAGAGGATCCCACGAGTCGTCCCACGAAAACGGGATCGCGTGAAAACGAAGGGGACGTATAAATAAAGTAGAAACACCTATTATGAAACATCACTTAAGTGTGACCCTTACTTGGAACAGTGGCGCGAGTATAATATCATAGAAGATAGAGCATATGGAAGTGGACGTAAAAATACTACCCATTCTTTATTCGAATACGGGTGTTTCTAAGTAAAATACATTGTATAGGGTAAGTATCAATTATTGTGCCCATTAATCACTGCAAACAGAAGTCCAAAGTCTTCGACAAATTAAACAGTTTATTTTATCTATATATCGCACTTTTCATCAAACATTTAAATTATACGTTGATGTATTTTATATTAGCACGAATTTTGTCCATAATTGAAATATACAAAGAACACGAAGTATTTAACAAAATATACGAAACGGTTTCTGAGCGAGTTAATGGGCTCTTAAAAAGATGAAACGTTAATTACTGTGTGTCAATTACTGATCCTTTTCCAGTTATTGTATGTCGATATCTGTACATTGATGTAGTTACTGTGTCAATTTCTGTACACTGATCTAATTACTGTGCCCCAATTACTGTGATCAATTCTAGGTAAATACTATATATATAATCATAATATATAATAATAATATATATAATATAATAATAATACTATAAAATAATAATAATATAAATATGTATAACAAAAATGTAAAACCATGAAATATTCCGTATTACATTATTGAGCATAATTTATTGTATACCTATGTTTCAATACATACGGTATTATTCAAAAAAGGGATAGAAAATAACGTACACACATTTCACAGGCCTAGAATGTAAGCTTAGAGATGTAACACGTGGTTTGCTATGAGAAGGATCAGTGTAAAAAAAAAAACATGAAAACTTAACCCCGTTACAGTGCACTGTAATAGAAACAAGACATAAATTTGTTTTAGTTACTGAATTACTTTAAATCGAGAAATATATCTAAACAGCCGGTTGTTGCAATAACATAACAAACCATTATCAGGAATTTAAAATATTAGTTTCCGCCTTTTATAAGTCTTAAGAAGTTAAAGTTTTGATCCGGTTGTGAAAATTGCAGATCATATTTTATTTAAAAAATTTAATATCATTATTTTAATAGTGTTGTTTCTAAATATAAAAATCCTTGCAATTATTGTAAAGACAAAACAACCAGAGAGGCTCAGTAATTGACACACTTATCCTATTTCAATCTTCTCATTGTCTCGTTTTATGGAACAATTGGCGTCCGTATTTCATATTCAATGCCCCTATTTCATAAAAGTCGTTCCAAAGTACGGACATTGAATATGAAATACGGGAACATGGCACGAAGACGGTGTTCCATAATAGGTACACGCTCTCGTACTTTACTATTCTATTCGTATTAAATGAATATTTCGAAGTTCATTACGTTTTCTGGAAACATCAATCTATCGAACGGTAGTGTAAATATTCAACAATAACCCTTTTAAATTGTATTGGAAATGGGTAGATAAATAAAAGTAAAACGCAGTGAATTAAACTTATCCCTTTTAGTTTATTAATTTGATGTACGAGGAAGGACCGTCTTT